CCACCCATGTTTTTCCAGATGATCATGTCTGCTTAGTGTTCAACACCTGAAAGCTGCCCTTTGTGCAGAAGACTGTCTGCCGACTCACACTCTTAGCAGCCAGCCCTAGGGAGACCAGGATGCATTCTCCCTCCTGCAGCCCGTGTTCTCAGGGAACCTGAGCTTGGTAATGAGAACACCCAGCCAACTCCAGACCATTGCACATCTCTTTCCAAGTCACACCTTCTCCTGAGCAATCCTGAGTAACATTTGCTAGAAATTTAGCGATTCACCTTGCAAATGGGTAATCGCTTTGGAAGTGCCCCAATGAGAAGAAATTAGGATGTCAGGCTTCTTGATGCATTTCATTTAAAAAAACAAAAACAACAACAACACTGGGAATGTGCCAGGTAACAGGCCACAAGAAAGTGACCGTGAAACTTCCCTTTTTCCACTGTTTTCCTCATACAGATGCCCAGGCACTGAGACGGGGCGGGACCCACTATTTCATTCACACAGTTCAGCCCTCTGGATCTCACAGTGAGGAGAGGGATAGAAAAAGCAGACAGAGCCTGACTCTAAATATGCCACTAAGCACCTGACGTCAATTGTGCTTTCTCATTGTGGAAGTTTTCAGTTGCCAGACGACACAGGGCCTGGATATTTCCTCTCCCTGGAAAGACAGTGAGAGCCAAGTCATCTCCTGCTGCCTGGCCTTCCAGGAGCACCCACCTCCTAGGATAAGAGGATCAGTGAGATAATTCAAGGGAAAGGCCTAGAACTCTGCCAGCTTAGTGCCTGGTTGTGGCAAAACGGAGTCCCACAAGGCAAGGCAAAGGCCCTGCTCCGTGCTTACAGCTGGGGGGCTCTACACGAGTGCAAACTACCTGAGCCTCAGTGCTTGTAGAATGAGTGTTTACCTGAAAGCCTGTTTTAAAGATTAAATGAGTAACATAAGAAAGTGCCTAGTATCCTACAAGGTGACCTGGGGAGAATGGCAAATGTATCCTGTATCCACAACTATCAGAGCAACTCAAATACTAATTGTGTCTTACAGATTTCAACCAAAAGCACCTTTTAGACAAGTTGACAATGTAGAAACACCTCAAAATCCAGGTAACACAGTCAGATCCAAATCCACACATATTTTCACTACTCACAGAGCATTTCTACTTCACAGGTGGGACTGGCTTTCTGTGCGACCGTGAGAGAGAAAAATGGGGTCCTGCCCAGCTTGCTCTGAGACACGCGACATGTTTCCGGCAAAACTGGCCGTGACGCCAAACGTTCTCAGTTTCTGTCTTTCTGATCTGCACCACAGCCTGGCGTCTTTCATGTCAGGAGCAAACCTTAAAAGTGAGTCTGTTTCATTTTACAAAGTAAACTAAGCATGTTGGCAATGGTGTTTTTCTTTTGAGGTTACTGTCCTAAAAATACTGTTAACACCTCTCCTACAGGACTGCTAAAAATGATTTCCTGGAGTATGAGGGAACACTGGGCAGAAGCACACAAGAGCAGGAGAGAATACACAGTAATTATCGTAAGGTGACAAATACGAGGCAAAATCTCTTCCCCGGAATCCGATTATGAGGCAGACACACCATCATCTATGAGGTGTGGATCAGCCAAGGACAATGTGCGTTGGAGTCACCCAGAGGGCGTGTTAAAACTCAGCTCGCTGGGACACGCCTGTTTCTGCTTCATTAGGTCTGGAGTGAGATCCAAGAAGGTGCATTTCTAACGAGTTCCAGGTGATGCCAACGCCGCTGCTCAGGGACCCCACTCTGAGAACTGCTGGCATCATAGCTAAGAGCATAAGAGCAGAGAGTTCTGCAGCCATTCTAAACAGGCAAGGACCACTTAACTTACCCTGTGACTTTGGACAAGTTGTTGACATTTCCTCCCATAAACCTATAAAACGGAAATAATAACAGTACTTGACCTCAAATGAATGTTTTAAAAGTTCAATGCATGAATCCACATAAAGTACTGAAAATGGTGCCAAGGACTTAGGAAGTGCACAGTGACATTCTCTAACGCCACCACCTGGCTCTCAGTTTTTTAAAAAAGTTTCATACATGTATCTATAGAAGTTTTCAGGAAAAGAAGATTTCTAACAAAAGCTTTACCAGTGGCCGTGATGGCTGCGGATGAGCACGGGGGTAATAAGACCTAAGCCTATTCACTAAAGCTGACCTCATGCCTGTATAACTAGAGTTTGTCAAATATTTTGCTGACAGGAGCTGGTCAGAAACCTGCTTATCAGATGTGGAACAAAAGACAGGACTGACGGAATCAGCCACCTCCAGAGACCCTGAGACACCTACACCCTCTCCCTGCTGCTCAACTGCATGCTTGCCTTATCGTATGCAAGCAAGCAGAATTCCAGGAGAGGAGCTGTTGCTTCGCCCCCGCCCCCCCGTCCGTGTCACACATGTCCCCTGTTAGAGCACGCCCCTCTGCTGTGCCCCAAGTCATCGACTTGAGGACACATCCCCCGTCAGTGCTGAGCCTGGCTTGGAATCAACTGTGATTCCTCTCAGTTCTAGTGGCTGTGACTTCACTTCGTTGGCAAAATACATGAAGAAAGAGAGAGAGAGACACACTCTCTCTTCATGTATTTATATATGATACATATTTATAATATGTATTTACATATATATGTATCACATACTTATATACATTATATATATGCAATGTGCACAACACAAAGTTTTTTCCTCTTAAGATATATGATACTTCTCCAGAATATTTTATAGCCTTTAATTTAGAATCACACAGATAAATGACTGTTTTTTTTTTTTTTTTTAACTCTTACCAAAATTTTTTTTTTTTTTTGAGATGGAGTTTCACTCTTGTTGCCCAGGCTGGAGTGCAGTGGCGAGATCTCGGCTCACTGCAGCCTCCGCCTCCCACGTTCAAGCGATTCTCCTGCCTCAGCCTCCCGAGTAACTTGGATTACAGGCGCCTGCCATCATGCCTGATTAATTTTTGTATTTTAAGTAAAGATGGGGTTTCACCATATTGGCCAGGCTGGTCTCAACCTCCTGACCTCAGGTGATCCATCTGCCTTGGCCTCCCTAAGTGACGGGATTACTGGCATGAGCCACTGTACCCAGCCTTATTTGTTTATATTTATACTTTATTCATTTATTTATTTTGAGGCAAGGTCTTGTTTTTGTCACCTAGCCGAGGTGACTCAATAGACACTCGCCACCACATCCGCTTAATTTTGTATGTTTAGTAGAGACGGGCTTTCTCCATATTTGTCAGGCTGGTCTCAAACTCCCGACCTCAAGTGATTGGCCCGCCGGGGCCTCCCAAAGCGCTGGGATTGCAGGCGCCACCGTGCCCGGCCAAAGCTCTGACTAGGTTTTAAGGCAGCAGCTCATCTCATACTTTAACATACATGCCCATCATCTGGACATCTTGTTACGAGGCAGATTCTGACTCAGTGGGTCTGGGCTGGGGCCTGAGCTTCTGCATTTCTAGCAAGCTCCCAGGTGATGAGGGCACTGGCAGAAGCAGCAGAGATTTAAGGGGCAGGAAGCTAATCCCGCTAAATCTGGGGGAGCTCTAGTTCTACAAGGGCAGATGGACGCCTTTCTCCTGATCCCATCCAGGGACCTAACAAATCCTCAACCCTGTCACTCCTCTCCCCTCCCCCATCTCCTTCCAGACAAGGCCAGAAGGGCACCCGCCGGAATGCAGGCCTCAGCATGGATGGGGTCCCTCACTCTCTCCTGGCTTCTCCCAGTTTCCTCCCTTCCTGCAATAAAATATTTGCAGCTGTCCTGGAGGGGAAGTGTTAACAATATTTTTAGAACAGTGACTTCAGAAGAAAAACACTTTTGGTACATGGCCGATTATAAATAATGTTGAAAACAGAAGTTCCAGCCTGGGCAATATAACGAGATCCCTGTCTCTACAAAAAAATCTCAAAAAGTAGCTGGACATGTTGGCGTGTGCCGTGGGTCCAGCTACTCACTCCTCGGGGGGCTGAGGGGGAGCCGGGAGCTGAGGCTGCAGTGAGCCAGGACTGCACCGCTGTACTGAAGCCTGCGCAGCAGAGGGAGACACAGTCAGAAAAAAGAAAGGAAAGGAAAAGGAAGGAGGAGAGAAAGGAAAAAGGAAGGAAAAAGAAAAAGAGAAGTTATCCTGAGGCAGGAAAATAGAGCCTCCTAAAGCAGCAGTTTGGAACATCATATTCTGATTGTTTTTACTCAAAGGCCCTAAAGAACATCCACATCACTGTTTAAACACCCTAATCAGCCCCCAAAGCCTCTTTCTCTAGGCTGCAGGTGAAAGTTCTGGAAGCCCAGCTAGAAAGCTCACAAACCCTCCCTTTTCCCTGCAAAGGAGCGCCTCTTGAAGAGAGCTGTCAGTGGGCTCCCAGATTTTAGTATCAGCCTTGGGCTGTTCGTTTTGAAATATTTCTAAGTTTTAAAAAATCCTTATTTCAGGTCAGTGATTAATAATTTTTTTTAAAAAAAATAAACACTGCCAGAACAAAAACATGCTTCATTCAATAAGACTCGGTCTCTTGTCCATTTACTTATCAAAACCTAGTCACAAGTTCACACCTGAATCTCTTAAAACGGAACGCTGGAATGCCACAAAGAGAAATAAAGAACAATTAGTGATATTTGCAACAACAAGGATGAATTCCAAAGACTTAGTTAAGCAACAGAGGCCAGACACAAAGGAATACACCCTGTTTGATTCCATTACAAAGATCGGGAACTCAAAACAAATCTACCGTGACAGAAGTCACAATAATTGTTTCCGGGAAGGTAGATGTAAACTGAAAGGGACCGAGGGACTTCCTGGGGAGCTGGAAATGCTGTCTCTGGGTTGCGGGGAGCGGGTCTTACAAGGATGGCTTTAAACCATTTGCGTGAGATCTCTAAGTTGTACCTCAATTAAAAAAAAATAAGAGTGCTATGAAATCAGCAGAACACTCAAGCCTATTTAGACACTCAGGAGGAAAGGATCAGATCTGAGCCAAGTACGGAATTTACCCTCTTCCAAGAGGTCCTGGGAGTCATGCTGTCTGTGGGTGGGCTTCCTCTGTTCTTCCTGGCAGTCGTATTCAAAACATTCTTCTTCCCTGCCCTTGTCTCTCAGGGACATTGCTGAAGTCACCCCACAGCCACAACATCACCCTAAGGGATCATCCTTGGGGGTGCCCCCAACCCCCTACCCAGAGGTGCCATGCCGGCCCAGGCCCCCAGGGGACACGCTGTGCCGGGCCGGGGCCGCAGACATGCCCTGTCTGAGCTGAAGTGCAGGGGTGTACACAAAGCTCCTGGCCCAGCATCAGCAGGGAAGGACCCGGAAGGGAGTGGCTCCCAGGAGCCCGGAGGAGGGGCGGGCGGGGAGAAGCACTGGGCGGAGTGGGAATGCCCGGCCAGGCGCAGGGGATTCGTGGGAAGCCCTGCAGGCAGGTGCAGGACCTCGGCTAGCTCTCCGCCTCTTCTCCCCCAGGAGCAGTGAGGAATGGTAGCTTCCGAAAGTCTCACAGCAACCCCACGGGGCAACACCAGCTAAGCCTTGGGCAGGTACACCTGTCTGAAGGTGGGGCGCTGGCGGAGGAGGTGTCCTTCTGAAGCACTGCCCAGTGCGCTCAGATGAAAGACTTCCTGTGGGCGTGCATCAGCTAAGGAGACAAACCTGACTGTGACAACAGCCAGACTGACAGTGGGAAGGAAGCAGGGGAAGGAAGGGGTCATTCCAGCGAAAGGGAAAAAACTGCAGTGACCACTGCCTCGTGAGCTTAATTCATCCCAGTCCCCTTTGATAATAACCTGCATTTTCTCTTTATCGATCTGCATTTCATAAAATCCTGCTCTTACCCTAAATCTGTGTTTCCACAGCCAAATTTATAAAGATCTCTCTCATTACTAGACCAAGATAAAAAAAAAAATCTAAAGCCTAATAGCTTGCAATGTTGCCTGCAGAAGAAGCCACAGTTCAATTGCATACCTTGATATCAATTCCTCTGTACTGTCTGATTTTGCCTGTAACAGTGAGAATGGCAGGGTCTTCCGTCAAACCCAGTGAAAGGCAGCCCCGGGCGCTGGCACGTCAGAGAATCACAGCTCATTCTGCCATCTCTGTGCTTCGGCACCACCTCACCCACATTGTGCCAGTCTCCTGCTCCTAACAGCGACACCAGGACACCTATTCTAACCTCTCTGACAAGCTAGCCATGAGAGAAGATTTTAGCAGAGGCAAGGTCTTCATACAATAACTTCCTGCACAAGTTCGTGAACTATATCTCATTCATCTTTGAATCCTCAGGGCTGAGAATTCTGCTTAGCTGGCTAAAAATGTCTGCTAAATTGAATCACTACTTCCATAAAGACTAATATGAGATCATATACAAGTGACTCTAAACAGAAAACCAGAGGACATATGCATCCTCTAGTTAATTTTTTAGAACCTGAAAATGAGAGCTGCATTTTACCATGTTAAAGATGTGTTCTTCCCACCCACCCCCCCAAAAAAAAATTCAGGCAGGGAGTTCAAAATTCCATTTGAAATACTGCATAAGCTTTAAACATAAACACACTCAAAAAAAGTTTCTTTAATCTCAATAGGTTTTATCAGATTAGGCTAATTCAATTCAGATGACAGTGGGCATGTCTATAAAGTGCTGTGAATAACACAAATGGTTATTCTGAACCCCCGGGAAGGAGGGAGAGAGGAAGAACCTCCATCTCGTGCATGATTCATTCAGCAAGTATCAGGCTGATGATAAGATGCATGGGATACTGTGCTGGCAACAGTGTATACAAAGGGAAACAAAAGCGAATTTCACGGATTCAAAAATGCTACTGAGTGACTTTACTCATTAAGTCATTTCTACTCATCTTTTAATTTGCATCGACTATCCCTATTATGAAATACACAGAGACTTACATATTCTAAATGATGTCCAAGTCTCTATATATTACATAATATTTAGAACATGACTTTATTACTTTCCCCCCAACTTTTAATTACAAAAATATTTAAAATATACAGAATAGTTCAAAGAACACTACAGTGAACACTGGCATGCCTCTATCAGAAATGAACAATGAATATTTTGTTTGGGGGGGGACATAGTTCAGATTTACAGAAAAGTTACAAGAATAGCACAGAAAACTCCTGCACAGCACTAAAAGATTCCCCAAATGGTCACACTTCCTACATTTACTTTCTCTCGACACTGAAGCATACTATTTTTAATCCACAGACCTTCCTGAGATTCCCTTCAGCTGTCCCAATAACATCCTTTATGGCAAAAGAAATCCAAGATCACATGTTTCATTCAATGGGCAGGTCTCTTAAGTCTTCTTTAATCTGGAACAATCTCTGGGTCTTTGTATTTCACGACATTGATCTTTTGAACAATACAGGCCAATTATTTTGTAGAAGGTCCCTCACTTTGGGTATTCCTGGTGTTTTCTCATGATTAGATTCTGTTTATGAACAGAAAACGAAGAGGTTACTTTCTCTTCAGTGCATCTTCTCAGGAGGTGTCTGCCGTGGAGCAATCTCACTACTGCCAATGTTAGCTTTATTTTTATTTTTCGAGACGGGGTCTCATTCTGTTGTCCAGGCTGGAGTGCAGTGGTGTGACGATGGCTCACTGCAGCCTCGACCTTTATGCTCAAGCGATCTTCCCGCCTCAGCCTCTAAGTAGTTGGCACCACAGGCACATGCCACCACACCTCGCTAATTTGTGTGTGTGTGTGTAGAGACAGGGTTTTCCTGTGTTGTCCAGGCTGGTCCCAAACTCCTGGGCTCAAGTGATCCACTTGCTTCAGCCTCCCAACATGCTGGGATTACAGGCATGAGCCACCATGCCTGGTCCCATCAGTAATTTTTTTTTTTTTTTGATTTTTGGGTTTTTTGGAGACAGAATCTCACACTGTCTCCCAGGCTGGAGTGCAGTGGTGTGATCTTGGCTCACTGCAACCTCCGCCTCCTGGGTTCAAGCTATTCTCCTGCCTCAGCCTGCCAAGTAACTAGGATTACAGGTGCCCGCCACCACGCCTGGCTAATTTTGTATTTTTAGTAAAGATGGGGTTTCACCATGTTGGTCAAGCTGGTCTCAAACTCCTGACCTTAAGTGATCCACCCACCTTGGCCTCCCAAAGTGTTGGGATTACAGGCACAAACCACCATGTCCGGCCCCCATCAGTAATTTTTAAAGCTCCAATTTTTAAAGTCCCAATGTTAAATTTGATTATGTGGTTTCCTCACTATAAAGCTATCGTTTTTTCCTTTGTTATTCAAAAGTGACTCATCGCGATATATACTTTGAGACCACTAGTTTTAACAAGTCTTGTCTTAATCAGTTATGTGGATGGACGGAAAGTGGTGAATTTCTAATTCCATCATTTTAACATTTACTAGTTTGCTTTCTATTGTTACCAATAAGTTTTTCCTCCTCCCGTTTATGTAGTCCCTCATTTATTTATGTCAGCATAGACTCGCGGATTCTTCCTTCATTCCGTAAGTTATAATCCTTTACTATTATTATTTGTTTTGATGTTCAAATTGCCCATATTAGGCCAAGGGAAGCCCCTTCAGGCTGGCTGCTGTGCAAGATGGAGATTTTGAACACAGGACCACCCGGACTCTTCATGCCACCCCATTTCTCTGGGTGTAGACAGTGTTCAGGATATCCCTCATCTTTCCTCTCTTCCTGACGTGGGGGTGTGAGACGGTTCTCTGAACTCATGCACCTCTGCCTTCACTTCACCGTTAAAGGCAGACATGGTACAAAGAGCATCTTCCCTGAGAGTGTAGTGTCTCCCATAGTCTCAGCAAAACACAACCCCCAAAGACCGGCAAGAAAGCCTGGGAACCCCCATGCCAACGGAGGGATGAAGAGAGCGGGGCAAGGCTGGACGTGGAGCCTGCAGCCGGAGATGTGAAAGACGGTTTAGTAACAGATGTGCATGCTGCTCCAAAGGCGTAGACTAGACACGGGGACCCACAGCAGGGAAGCAGAGCGAGTTCCTGATCCATCTCCAGAACACCGCACAGGAAGGCCCGCGGAGGGAAGGTCGGCCACCTCTCGCAGGGCAGCGGCGCGTGGCTCTCGGCCTCCCACTCACAGCTGCTTGACACACTCCCCAGAAGTCATCTTCCCAAAGCTCTACCTTGTGTTGCCCAAAGAGCGGCCACAAGCCACTGGGGCTATTTATGCTTACAATTATGTGAATGAAAATTAAATAAAGCTGCAAATCCAGTCACACTAGCCACATCCCACGTGCTCCGCAGCTGCATGTGACCAGTGGCTACCATATCCGACAGCAGAGAACGGAACATTGACAGCATGACGAAAAGTTTCACTGGAGAGCACTGATCTAAAGCGTGCCCCTTATTTTCAAGACGGGAGCTCTACACCTTCTCAGCTTCCAAGCCTGCATCTCCCCGCAGCCTCTGCTCCCATCCTGGCTTCCCACCACACCACAAACAGCAAAACAAGCCGCTGACTTCTGCCTACGTAACGCTACTGCCTCAGCGCACCTGGGAAGCGGACCAGACTGCCACCCCTTTTGAGCAGAACCAATTGAGGGACAGCAGATGCCGGAAAAACTCTAAAAACAGAGCATAAATTTCCCTTTCGTAAAGGAAATTGACATCCGGAAGGGCGTCTCCGTCTTCCATGCAATCTCTCATCAATGGAGAAGGCGCCCACTTGAACCTGCACAGACCTTATTGAAGCAGCCCTGCGTGTCCACGTTTCCCGGTTGCCTCCCCACAACCTACTCCCCCACGGGAACCCCGACCCCTTGTCCTTTGTCTCACCTTTTCTCCACACCTTGCTGCCCTTTGGGGCGATGTAGAGGCTTCCAAATTCTTACTGCCTCTTTGACTCTCATTTCTTTGTGACTGCCAGGGCCTACTTACATCATCACACTGATTTTTCTCTTGTTGAGGTCTTTTATCAGTTTGTTGCTCAGGGCACCCAGCTGCTGAATCAAGCAGGGAAGAGGGATAAAGATTTTCCTCTGCTACACCTCCACATCCCCACCCCCCAGGCCTAAATCCTCCAGCCTTTCACGGTCGGTTCAGCACGGCTCCCCTCTCATTTCAGGTGAGGGCATCCTTCTCTCCACCTCACCCGCCCCACTGATGCCCAATGCTCCACACTCACATTTCACTTCTCTGCTCCCACAGAGCAGGGTTGAGCCTAGTGAGGCTCATGTCCCCAAAGACCTTGCTCATACAATGTAAATAAATAAATAAGGCTGGGCACAGAGGCTTATACCTGTAATCCCAGCACTTTGGGAGGTTAAGACAGGAGGATCACTTGAGCCTAGGAGTTCGGGACCAGCCTGGGCAACACAGTGAGACCCTGTCTCTACAAGAATAAATTTTAAAATGAGGCAGAAGGATCTCTTGAGCCCAGGAGGTCAAGGCTGCAATGAGTCGTGACTGCGCCACTGCACTCCTGCTTGGGTGACAAAAACAAGACCTTGCCTCAAAATAAATAAATATATAAAATATAATTATAAATAAACAAATAAGGCTGGGTGCAGTGGCTCATGCCTGCAATCCCAGCACTTAGGGAGGCCAAGGCGGGTGCATCACCTGAGGTCGGGAGGTTGAGACCAGCCTGGTCAATACGGTGAAACCCCATCTTTACTTAAAATACAAAAATTAGTTGGGCGTGATAGCAGGTACCTGTAATCCCAGCTACTCAAGAGGCTGAGGCAGGAGAATCGCTTGAACCTGGGAGGCGGAGGTTGCAGTGAGCCGAGATCACACCACTGCACTCCAGCCTGGGTGACAGAGCGAGACTCCATCTCAAAATAAAGAAAGAATAAATAAATAAATAAAATTAAACAAACAAGAGCATCACAACGCTCCAAAAACTTGGGTTCTGGGCTTGCTCCTGCTTTCTTCCAAGTCTCTGGTCCTCAGCTCCTCCATCAGAGAGGACCTTATGTCTATCTCACTAGACCCAGTGACATTCACAAAAACTTAATTCTAAAACAGTTACATCATAAAACCGTTTACATTTCATTCTTTTTCTTTTCTTAATCCCTGCAGTAACCACAGAGGAGATGCTGTGTCTGGAAAAAGATAAGTTGACCTCTGTCCTCGGGCGCATTCACACGACGAAACACAAGACGGAGAAATGGGGTCTGTTTGCATCGACACGCAGGGAAATTCAAAAACTCGGCTCAAAAATGCAGCTTTTCAATTAATCGTTAAATCATCTCTAACAAAACTTCACTCACGCACCAAAAAAATAAAAATAAAACTTCACTCACGAACCAGCCACAGCCATCTTGGGTGACATTTCAGAGATGAAATGAAACCAAGTGGAGAACGGAGCCCGTGAGACTGGGTCATAGGCCTCGAGTACGTATCAGTCTTCATGACAGAGTAAGAAGCTGTCGGAATAACCGCAGCGACAATCCACCTGAGTTTTGTCATTTGTGAAATCGGCATGAACTGGACCACCTCCTGCCCCAGCATTCAAATCTACCAGGTTATAAAAGGGGAGGTGAGCGGGGATGGAGAGCAAGTCTTATTACAAAAGAAGGTGATGCCACAAACAGGTGGTCACAATGCCGTACCTTGTTCACAACAGCATTCCTCTCACTGCCCTTTTTTTAGATAGGATCTCACCCTGTCACCCAGGCTGGAGCACAGTGGCATCATCATAGCTTACCTTGCCCTGCTGAGTGCAAATAATCTTCCCACATCAGCTCCCGAGGAGCTGGGACTAGAGGGTGCACCACGACAGGCAGCTCAGGGTCTCACCATGGTACCCGGGCTCTCTCAAACTCCGGGCGTCAAGTGATCCTCCCACCTCTGCCTCCCCAAATCCTGGGATTACAGGTGTGAGCCGCCACACCAGGCCCCCATTAGCCTTTTCAAAGAGATTGTTTTTGTTAAAGACCTTAATAAGTAGTACTGTTTCTGAGAAAATAAAATTAAACACTGACCTGGCTCTTCATTGCTTGTAAAGAGCTATCACTTTATTTACACTGCACGATGGCTTCTGCCAGTGTTGTCACTCCCGTTTTCCAGATGGGGAATCCAGGCTCACAGAAACCCCAAGACGTTCCCATACACGTGGCTACACAAAGCACAAAACAGGCCTCAAATACAGAGGGCCAAAGCTCTTCCTGCCGTTCTGCCTATTTCTAGAGTGACTACAAAGAGGACTGTTTCTTCACTATAAGGGCATACGCTGAGCCCGAGCCCTTTTGAAAATTAAAAAGGTGTCATACTCCTTCTAAGCACACTTTAAAAAGTGAGCAATGCAGGCCAGAAACAATGTAAGATCCCAAAACTGACCGAAACGATTCTTGTCCTCCCCCTCCCCATCCCTGGGGCTGCTTCCATGGACATCAGCACTTTCCCAAACACACGTGATGTAAAGAATCCCTCAAAGCATGCGCCAAAAATTTAGATTTCTCAGGACTTCTCCTAGTCTGGTGTGAATCTGAGAATCTGCTTTTTAAATAAGCAAACGATTTTCAATGATTTCTCGTTTTCAAGGCTCTGCCTCAGAGGTGGGACGCATC